ACATGAGGAAGTGATGGAAGAGCAAGCAGGATTGGGAAGAGGAGTGTAGGGAAAAGAGAAAACAATGGAATAAGCCTAAATGTGGGTGTTTTCCAGCCTGAAAAATGATTTGGCAGAAGATGCTGCGGTGGCGTTGATGTTTGTGACCTGTCCACTTGCACGTAGTGATCCTCTGAGCTTCTGGTGGCCGACTTACAAGATCTGAGGTCATCACAGACCCAACAGTTGAGATCCAGCATCCACTGGGAGACCATCTGTTCTGCCCTTCATTTGCAGATGTTTGTCCAATAAAAGTGGACAATGTTATTTGTCAACATCTAATCATTGTGACCTTTCAGTACTTTTTTAACCACTGAATACTTTTCAGTCCCGTATTGGTTATTGGCTTAATTGTTTGTTTGTTTGTTTATTTATTTATTGGTTTATAGGTATATAAACTTTTGGATATTTAACTGTGAATGTGCATGGCTGCAATATTTTATTTAATTTATTTGTTTGTTTTTTTGTTTTGTTTTTAAATTTAATTAAATTTTATTAAATTTTATTATTAAATTTAATTAAATTAAATTAAATTAAATTTAATTTTGGGATCACATTTAATCAACATTATCTTTTTGTACCTTTTTGGACTTTTTATTTTGTTAATTTATTTTAATTTTAATTTAATTTAATTTTATTTAATTTTATTTAATTTTATTTAATTTTATTTTGAGATCACATTTAATCAACTATCTTTTTTGTACCTTTTTGGCCTTTTTATTTTATTTTATGTGATGTTAATTTTATTTTAATTTAATTTAAATGTAATTTGAATTTAATTTAATTTTATTTTATTTTGGGATCACATTTAATCAACATTATCTTTGTACCTTTTTGGCCTTTTTATGTTATGTTATGTTATGTTATGTTAAATTTAATTAAATTTAATTAAATTTAATTTTTTAATTTAATTTAATTTAATAACATTTTTATTTTGGGATCACATTTAATCAACATCATCTTTTTTGTAACTTTTTGGCCTTTTTATTTTATGTTATGTTAATTTAATTTAATTTTAATTGTATTTTAATTTAATTTAATTTAATTTTAATTAATTTTTATTTGATTTTATTTATTTTGGGATCACTTTTAATCAACTATCTTTTTTGTACCTTTTTGGCCACTGAATATTATTCATATAATGCATATTTTCATATTTTTTGGCTGAACAGTCAACACCAGATTACACAACAGTACAACATTAGGCCATTCATGAACCTTGAGCAGAACAAATTTCCATGTAAATCCATGTAAACACCATTCTTGCGTTATGTTGTCACATTTGAATGAATAATTTTACAAACAATTTACACAGAATTTTTCATAAATGAGGCATTCCAGATAAATATGACCCATAAATATGGTCCATTATTGACACAGGAGTGTGTAAAACTGCATAGAGCTCTGTGTCGAGGCATCAAAAAAATGATCTCATTAATTTGGCAGATCTCAGCTTTATCGTTCAGCTTGTGTTTGGCGTCGATCCAGATGTATTTTCTCTAGAATGATCTCACATCTGCAAAGTGGCATGAAAAACAGCAGAAAATTGATTTGTATGACATGACGTGATGCGTGCAGCCTGTGACAGAACACACTATCCTGCTCTCTAATGCACTCCTCCTTTTTTCGGTCCATTTCACAGATTTTTGCTCTACAAAAAGAGTTGTAAAATACATTATGAGCTGAGAGAAAGCGCACACTCGAGGTAGTTAATGCGACAGCTCCTTGCCTTCAGAGGCTTTTAGCAGACGTGCTCTCATACCTCCAGTGCTGCGGATGTTGTCATGGGCCGCTCTGGTGATACGCTGTGTGTTTGTGTTGAGTGACTCACTCTCACCGGCCTCTGATAACTGCACTGTGTGGGCAGCGTTTTCCATTGTAGTCAAAGTAGAATGTGTATGCGTGTCTGTTTTTGTGTTTTGTTTAGTATGTGTCTTGGTTTGTGTTCCTACAGTGGTTTTTAACAACCCTTCCAAGGAGTGCCAGGTCCTCCTCCCTGGGTTTTTTGTAGACAAGCATTGCAGAGTAAATCTAATAAAAGAACATGGCCAAGTTATGTGTTATTTCAAAAAAGGAAGTGATTATTTTAAATAGATTTTTAAGTAAATAATTTTAAATTAATTTCAGCTTGTTTTAGGATTATTTTATAAGAGTTGTTTTTTCTTTTTGCATTGTGATGCACTAATTATAAAGTATGCATAATATTAATATATGTTGTACTGTTAAAAAATTATTGTACAAAAATGACTACAATATACAGTATAATTTAGGGAAGAATGGAAATTACTAATAATATTTCCCCTATAAATAAATAATAACAAAATAAGTAAATACATAAAAAATAATAAAAAATGTATTGTTATTGCTATTATTTATATTTTACATTTATATTTATTAGGCTTTTTTCCCCTTTTTTTAATTTAGTTTTTCTGTTTATTTGTCTATTTCCTCCATGAGCATGTGGTTTCATTCAAGTCAGTGGGACTGGTTGGTTCACTGAATTTATCCAACTGTTTAAACATCTTTCAACATTTCAAGGCGGTTTCAGAGAAAGACGAGTGGTTGCATTTGCACCAGTGTCTTTACGTGGAACTGTTTGATTGCTTTACATAATTGTCATTGTTTAGAAGTTTCACTCGAGGTTGAACTAATTGTTTACTGAGGAGAGCAGTCAGTCGAGCATGAGACGCGAAAGCTTCATTGTTCTTGTGTATTTTTGTCTTTCCGAAACTCCTGACTTGAGAAATTCTTCAGGAATTCTGTTAATGCTAAATATGTAGCATTGAGTAATTGAAGTGCATGGACTCGATTTTCTGGTTCTGACAGACTTGTCAAATAGTGCACAGAGGTAATGCACCACACACGGGGTATGCTGTCAAGCTTCAGTCGTAGTTTAGATAGTGTATGTGTGTACGTGCATTACATCACTGAGTAAAGCTGAGTCAATGTTTCAGATTTTCCTACCTGAGCTTGGTTTGGAAATGCAAACTGGGGAATAATTTGACTGAGAACAAACAGATAGGCACTATAGTATATCTTAAGGGGAAGATGTTAGACCAACCTAACATAAACCATTTAATCGAACAAACTAATTTAAGAAACAATTTAAAATGAATAGCAATGAAAACTGCTATTAATTTCAGAAATCAAAAGTCAAATATATATTTCTGTACACAATTCCTGGAAGCTGAAAATATCCCAGTTCTTGCATGGCCAGCATACTCACCGGACATATCACCCATTATTGAGCATGTTTGTGATGCTCTGGATCGGCGTACACGACAGCGTGTTCCAGTTCCTTCCAATATCCAGCAACTTCGCACAGCCATTGAAGAGGAGTGGACCAACATTCCACAGGCCACAATCAACAACCTGATCAACTCTATGCAAAGGAGATGTGTTGCACTGCGTGAGGCAAATGGTGGTCACACCAGATACTGACTGGTTTTCGGACCCCCCCGGATCCCCCAATACAGTAAAACTGCACATTTTAGAGTGGCCTTTTATTGTGGCCAGCCTAAGGCACACCTGTGCAATAATCATGCTGTCTAATCAGCATCTTGATATGCCACACCTGTGCGGAGGATGGATTATCTCGGCAAAGGAGAAGTGCTCGTATATATATACACACATTTAATATTTAAAGACACAATATGTAATTTTTCGCCGCTAGAGGGCGAACACTGTTCTAGTGGTTTTTGGATATTTTAATCAAAAAATCTTGCATATTGTGCCTTTAATATGTTTATTTACTTAATTTATATTTTTATTATTACTGTACTTTAATATAATTTTATTTGATTTAAAATGAATGAATTAGTGTATAATATATACATTTTCTAGTAATGTTTTTCATATGCATGTATATGTGTTTACATAATTTGATAATTTAATATTTGAATTAATATTGGTATTACTTTAAATACTATATATATATATATATATATATATAAATTTTTAATTCAAATAAAATTACATTTTAGAATAAAAATATATAATTACATCATAAGCTATATGAAAATTATTTGTATATTGGTGATTTTTATCTTATTTTTATCAGTATTATTCGGGTTCCTCAGTTCTGTCACTTGTTAATCCACAGCTTAGTTAACATTTATTGAATCAGCCTGAAGTGGTTTTATCAGGTTTGAGGTCTTGGGTCTTCAATTGTAAAGGTTTCTTGTTTGAAAACTAAGCACTCCGACAGATAAATGACTACCGTATGGTGTTCATACAATTCTTCAGTGTTTTTGAAGATCTACAGTGAAGACTCACTGTACTTTACTGGATTCAATCATTCTGTGTACTGTACAGCTTTCAGTATTTGCCACTCAGTTGGCCAATCTCACTTCTAAACCAAAACAGCCATCCAGGTTATTTGGATAAACTCAGGTGTGATTTGCTGATGTTGTTTTATTTCCCCTGAAGGCCTTCAACGTCACTGCTGTGCACATACCTTCATTCAAGATCATAAAACATGACGCTTTAAAGAACATGCTTTGTATGCATGTTCATACCAAAAGCGTACATGATTAAATACTGTAAGATTATTTGGAAGCTCTTTAATGACTCCCTCAGCACATTTCTGAACTCCCATCGGTGCTCATAATGATGGAAATAATCTGTAACACAGTTTCCAGTGTCCGTGTTTACTATGATAATAACAGACCATGTCTGAGAATATGAGGATAAGTTTTCTCATTCATTGGGTCTTGGGGACATAGAAGCAGTTTTGTTCCATGGACATAAGTGTGACACGAATGTTTTAGAAAACAAGAAGTGCTCTTTTTAATAATATAATACAAGGTGAGAGCAGTGCGGTCTCTGATATTCTCAAAAAATAAGATTAACACATTAACTCAAGTATTTGAATGTGCTGTGCTGAATTCTTACAAAGTGGAATTTACAAGAATTTGAATTTTATGAATGTTGTTTTGTTTCGTGTGAATCTTCATTTTCAGATCCGCTGCATACTCACAGAAGATACCACAGCGACTACAGCTCCTCCAGCGAAAGCCCCTCAGTGACCTCATCAGACCCCGACTACAGACAAGGTTGTACTAATGACCTCATCAGTCTCTGTGTTTTTATTTTTGAACTCTTCATTTCTAGGTCCAGTGTTTACATCCTTTAAAAAAAAAAAAAAAAATCCTCCCGCTCATGTACATTTGGAAAGTCTTCCAATTTTGTTGAATTGCACACACCAGCCACTAGTCAGGTGACTATAATTACACAGAAAATGGAAAGGCCACACAATTAGTTTAATTTGACATTTTATGATTCAAGTATTTATTAGGTTTTCATCACCTCACGAACCACAGTTTGGGAAACCTTGGCGTAATTTCATGTTTAATGCACTATTTAATGTTTATAACAAAGAATGGAAAATATTTTCTTACAAGTTAGGTCAAAAGTAATCTAAAAGTAATCAAAACGTAGTGAGAATACATTACCTAATGTGTGTAATCCAACAGATTATGTTACTACCTAGGGCTGGGTTTTGACACAAATTTCACGATTCGATTCGATTCTCATTCACAAGCTTTCGATTCGATTACTGATTCGATTTGATTACCGATTCGATTCAATATCGATTATGTCTTTGTGCGGAGGAAACACTGATTGAGCGATTACATGAGACAGGATACAGATTGTAAAGTTGTACTCTTTCTTTTAACTTACCTTCGGATGTTTAGTCATGTTTATTTTGTGCTGAAACTGGTATTAATGTGGAGGAGATGATCAGTTCACGTGCGCTACGCGTTGCCGCGTCTGTTGAACTGAGGCGCTACAGCGATCTGTCACTCCACATTAAACAGCGCCAAAATGGCATTTATTGTTTGAGTACTGCAATACAATGGACAGAATTTAAAATTTTGAGACTTTGTTTCATATTAAAAGTACCAACGCACAATGCTTATTGCGATATATTGGATGGGAAGTGCCCTTCAACGTTCCGTCCATTAACTGAAAACAGGCTAGACTAATCGATTCTTGGGATTTAAGAATCGATATTGTTCCATAAAAATGAGAATCACTACATTACTATAATATTGAGGTTAAAACTGACTGATTTGTTAAAATTACACTTAATGAAGTTTTAAAATAATAAAGTTACAATTACATAATATTTCTACAATTTGTTTTTTTGAAATATAAATATTGGTGGCTGTCATAAAAACTTGATGAATTTATTCAAACATAAATTAAACATTGAAGAACAGTACAATGAATATGTTATATGCTGCATATATTTAGCAAAATGCCCCTCTCTACAGTTTGGACAGAATTTAAAATTTTGAGACTTTGTTTCATATTAAAAGTACCAACGCACAATGCTTATTGCGATATATTGGATGGGAAGTGCCCTTCAACGTTCCGTCCATTAACTGAAAACAGGCTAGACTAATCGATTCTTGGGATTTAAGAATCGATATTGTTCCATAAAAATGAGAATCAATTAATATTGAGATATTGATATTTTTTACCCAGCCCTATTACTAACTACAATTTCTCTTATGTAATTTATAATCAGTAATATACTACAGTTTGTTAGTAATCTACTTGGCACTGTTTCGGTCATATTTTATTCAAGTCAAAATGATCTTTTAAACATATTTTGTTAAATTCTGCTGGTTTAAGTTCTCTCAGGAAATTATATTACTTCACACTTTTTTTTTCACGGAGTCAATTTTTACCAGTCAACCCTGAATACATTTTACAGTTGTTTTTATTTAAAGCCCTTTTATACGATTAAAAAAAATAAAAATAACTTTACTATGTAAAAAAAAAAAAATAATATATATATTATTATATTATATATATATATTTTTTAAAATTTTATTTAAAAATTTTTTTTATTTAATAGTTAGACTGAGACATAAGACCGTAACAGCATTTATGAATGCAGTGTGAGTCATCGCATCTCATAATACCATGACCATTTCAACACTTTAGATGAATGTGGGTGGGTGTCATTTGAATTCACTCACTGATGACCATCCGGTTCATGTAGGGGACATAAAAAATGCTTTGATTCGCATATTACTGTACTGTGCAAGGCACATACAGTGGTGTGAAAAGGTGTTGGCCCCCTTCCTGATTTCTTGTTTTTTTGCATGTTTGTCACACTTTAATGTTTCAGATCATCAAACAAATTTAAATATTAGTCAAAGATAACACAAGTAAACACTTAATAATAAAAACCTTCATTTAAAAACTGCATGTTGTGTTCACTTGTGTTATCTTTTACTAATATTTAAATTTGTTTGATGATCTGAAACATTAAAGTGTGACAAACATGCAAAAAAATAAGAAATCAGGAAGGGGGCCAACACTTTTTCACACCACTGTACTTTACATACTTTCATTTCACAACTTTCTTCTGTACACCAACAGCTAAGAAGCCAGAAGATTTGAGGCGATACAGCTCTCAGGTCGGCCTGGCAGAACATGATGGCGTTTCGCTCAGCAGTGCACAGAGACACAGGTATTCTCTCTTTTTCTCTGTTTTCTGCTTTGTGTTGATCAGTCATGCACGTCCTGTCTGTACTAACCCCCCTTTTGAGGTCTTTTGTGGTTGTGGACCCCAGCCCAAGTTAATAATAATCTAAACCCTTCCTGAGTTCCGGTGGCGGCTTGTGGAAAATGTTCTAGGTAGGGCGCCACATCTAACAATTTTAGCATACATCCCGGTATGATTTGTCCCAATATAACAAAAGGAAAAGTATTAAGACCTAAACATTTTTTAAAAAATGTTCAAGATTGAGGATGATTCCCACAAAACTATATTTCCTGCAAGCTTTTTTCAAGATAAATTACAACATTTTTAAATTTTCATAATTCAAAATGTATGTATACAGTGCAACAGCAAAAACTGTGAGGAAAAAATACGTTACATTTGTTTAGAGCATTTTCTGTACATATATAAATAACTATAAGTCAAGCTGCAATATCAAACAGGACCACACGGAGATGCCAACAGACTACTATACCAGTAACCAGACTGTATATAGATATATACGGATCCATTCAGAATTATTAAACGGAGCAAAACACAAATTAAAAAAGCAAATATAAAAATTCTGAATTTGTCAAATGTGGCGATCTGAAGAAATGTGGCGATCTCAACATCACCAGTGAACAGTTCCTCTGTCAGAGTGAGTGTTGATGCCCATATGTATATAAACACCACTGACCATCACAAACTCCTATAAGAACACACTTCTTCAGTGTCCATTATAAAACACTTGCCAGACATGTGACCATACTGAATGTGCTCATGCAAAAAGCTATCAGAGGGTGCACATACACGGTTTGTTTATTTGCATTGTAATAATAACGGACTCGCGCATCTAATAATGTACGACCCCTGTATGTCACTGTAATCGTCTTTACCTCCATTACAATCGTCATCCATTAAAACTTTACTGGTAAGTTACTGTTTGCTTTATTCAGGCCATACAGACAGTCCTGACTTCAGCTTAAAGATAATTAATAGAGGTATGTTTGTACCCACCAATCATTGCACAAGTTAAGTTTGCATATGATGACAAAAGCACGTTAGTGCTCGCCCTCCCGGAAAACACATAGAGATTGCATTGCAGTCCCTGCAGTTCTCGAAGAAAAAAAAAAGTCTTTGTATGGAAGTCTATGAGAACAGTCTGGGCGATTCTTGGCCACAGTGAAATCGCCCAAAAAAGGGGCAGTACTCCACAGAACATAACTTGACGCTGATTGGACTTTATTTCCAAAGGCAGGACAGTCTAGAACAGTGACAGCTAAGGTTGAATGTGATAGAAAAAAAATCCTTCCCTTTCACACGTATGCGACCCTAATGAAGAAATCGTCCCTGCTGAGTTCATTTCCTTACATCCTGTTCAAGTTTAGTTGTGGTTACAAGACAACTGTGTGTGTGTGTGTGTGGCTTTACTTATACTTTGGGGACAAAATTGTCCCCAGAAATGATACGAACAGAACAAAATAAACCTCCTTATGGGCACATCCTCAAAGGTAAAAGTGATGCAAATATTTTTTTCCTGCTTTTAGGAGTAAGACTTGGGTTAGTGTGTAGTATTTATAATTTGCTTTAAAACTGTAGATGACAGTGATATGTCATAGCATATGTTCAAGCCATAAAATCTTAACAAATATTGTGAGAAATGTCATTCTGAACACACTTTAAGTCGATCTCACAATTTTAAAGGCTCATAAATCAGCCAAATAATGCTTCACATGTCAATTAAATGTCAGCAGGTTTCTGTGGGAGTTAAAGGAAGTATGCAGTAAATATTAGTGTCTTAATATGAAAATCATTGCGCCTACAGGCTGTCCTAGCAAATATAACTTTTAAGGTCTGTCTGTGTGTTATTCAGATTACGGAAAAAGTGTGCTGCTTATAAATGTAAAAATGAGTGTTTAAATTATGTCGTCATTATTGTCATAATCGTAAGGCCAGTTTATGTTAGATACTTTGCATTTTGATATCCCACTGTTTTCCCTCTTTCTCTGCCTATTAACAGCTTTTCCAGTGATCTCCCAGCAGCTTTTGTTGCATTTTATTCTTACTTTCCCTGGCAAACCCCCTAAAGTCAGTGTAAATACTCCCATCTAAAATATTTCTCATTACGTCAGTGATTCTAGTCCTCCCCCTGCTGGTTAACCAGGTGAACTACCCAACATTGATCTTCGCTGCAGTAGATGTTGGCAGTGATGCAGTCATGACGATGGTTTCCAGGTGCTGCTGTTGTGTAGAGCAGGTTTTGGTTGGGGCAGAGTTCAGTAATTGATTCCATGAGGATGCCCAAGGCGGAGAGCTGTGCCATGGGTCACCCACAGCAACCAGCTGGCTCTGCTGTTGGGTGGCATGCCAGTGTGCTGACGTAACACACAACGCTTCATGCTCATTCTACTAGCAAATTTAATTTTCCACTCCTATTATTATTTATATTAATTTTAAGGGATTCATTTTCACCTTTCCAAATTATGATCTGAATATTGAAGTGTGCAAATATTTTTGAAACAAAAATAACTGATTTCTTAGCTGAAATCAAAGGTGATGTAAGCAGTGAAAATGCACTGAATTACTACACTTACAAACACCATCCTGGTTTGTGTCCAGACTTTTTGAGGCGGGTCAGGATGAGCTGTTGGGCACAGAACTTCTGATCCAGCATCAGGAAGATTTACACAGGCTCCAGGCCCGGCTGTCTAGAGCCTCTGTCTATCCTGGTGAAGACCCCCGCGCCTCCATACTGGACCTGGCGGAGCCCCTTCACAGCAGTCCTTTGGAAGCAGGCCTCCATCCACGCAAATCTAAAGTAATACAGTGCAACTGAATTCAGATTGAATTCACATTATACAAGTTATAGTGTTAATAGCAAAAGATGAAGTAATCCAATTTAACTGAATTCAGATTGAATTCACTTTATGCATATTGCATTATGAATAATCCAAAAATAATGTAATCCAGATCATCTAGATTCAGATGGATTCACTTCAGATACATGTCATCCACACTATAACTTTCATGAAGTAATTGCATTCAACTGAATGCTTATTTATGCAGGTTTTAGCATGATTGAGGTAAAGCAAAAGAAATCAAGGTCAACTGAATTCGGACTGAATTCACATTGAATTCAGTTTATGCAAATTAGTGTTAATGACAAAGGATAAAATAATCCAGAACTGAATTCAAATTGAATATGCTAAAAGTGCATTCAGATTTATTTCACTTAATGCATGTTACATTGTGAATAAAATAACAATTCAGTTCATCTGAATTCACATTTAATTCACTTTAGCTTTGCATTATTTACACTATAACTGGCATTAAGTAATCCATGCTCAATTGAATTCATATTTACTTTAAGCATGATTAAGCGTGAATGATGCAAAGCTGAAAAAATAAAATACAACTTAATTCAGATTGAATTCAGTTTATGCAAGTTGTAGTGTAAATGATGCAAACATAAAATAATTCAGTTTGACTTAAGATGATACATTGTAAATGATATATAGCTTTTCTGAATGAGAAAGCCGAATCACTTTGAATTGTTACTAAAACTAAGTTTAACTCTGTTGGACGTTTTAAAAAGGTATTTGTTCTTGTTGTAGAGTTTGTTTGGCCCCGAGTTTGTGAGGATGAGCAGCGAGCCAACTGTGGTTTTAACCGTTCCTTCATCCATAATGGTAAGACAGCTAATCTGCTTTGCTTTATACTGCTTTGTATTTGTGCATATGTATGCATTTATAATTTTTGCATGTGTTTCAACAGAACAAGCGTGGGAAGGTGGAGGAGAGTCAGAGGAAGGTGGGGTTGGTCTTGCTGAATGGGCAGAAGTTGGAGCTGTGTTGCGATGTGAAGGCGGTCTGTAAGGACGTTTTGGACATGGTCGTAGCTCACATTGGACTGGTGGAGCACCATCTATTCAGTCTTGCCTACCTTAAAGGTGCATAAAACATCTCCTTTTAAACTGTGATTAAATGCACATTGGAACCATGTTAAAATACATTGCCTACCTTTCTGCCCCCATTAGTATTTTGTATACCTTTCTGTTTGATACCAAAAACTAAAGTAAAGAATCTTGTGTTGTGATAAATTTAATTTCCTACACAGTTTTGTTGTTGTTGTTGTTTGAGTCTGAATGAAAGCACCATGTTGAATTTATTATATCTCATTGCTCCTTTATTTTAATTTCCTCTTTTGAATGGTATTTAGGAAGAATTTCCTTGAAATGTCAACAGTACGATTTATTGCAGCTTATGTTATGGGTACCTGTTCAGGTAAACAAGAGTTATTTGATTATGAAGTGTGTAAATACGACGAATAAATAACTTGTTGTTCTTTTCCTGACACGCTGCCCCTGTGTGACTAGACTAGCCGTCTAGTTACGGCTCTAATGGAAACGGGTGGTTTGTGTCCACAGATGGTTCATTAAGTCCTCTGACTCATGCCTCCCAAGCCAAAGGCTGCTTTACTTGTTATGCTGCATTGAACCCTTTTAGCATAATCTGTTTGTTTATCTTTCTTTCTGTTTCCTTTTTTTTTTTTAGATGACGAGTTCTTCTTCGTTGAACCTGATGCCAAACTTTCAAAGGTGGCGCCTGACGGATGGAAGGATGACCCGAGGAAAAAGAAAACTGATGTCAATTTTAATCTTTTTCTGCGTATCAAGTTCTTTCAGGATGATATCAGTCTGATACAGTAAGAGCTTAAGGGCCGCCTGACAACATAATCAGAGTCCAAAAATATAGTTTCTTTCTCATGAGTCAGTAGCTTTTTTATGAATTGCAAAATAATGCATTAAATCATTGCAATCTTTACTATCAGAAATGTAGCTAGAAAGCCAAATACTTTTTTTGCGATTTTATTGTTGCAACTCCAGAACTTAATGTGGTAACATGTTCCACCAAAAAGAAAATATAAACCAGTTCACAGTGGGTCTTGATTATGCTGCAGTGACAAAAATATGTTTTTAAGGGAATAGTTTGAAATAGTTAAAAAATATTTGTGGTCGGTACATTCTCCCACCTTTGGCAACTTAATTTTAGACTTTGTTTGCAGTGTTCGATCATGCATGCCCAAACATGTGCTGGTGTTCAGTGTTAGGTTTGATTTACTGTTTTGTGTTTTGTACAAGTGTATTTCATGCTCAAAAAGTGCAGTGATATGAATAAATGTATAGAAGCATATATATATTTATATATTTATGCATGTGTATATATACAAACACTATTGTTCAAACGTTTGGGGTCTGTAAGATTTTTTAAATGTTTTTGATAGAGTGTCTTATTCTCACCAAGGCTACATTTATTTGATCAAAATATAGTAAAACAGTAATATAGTGAAATATTATTACAATTAAAACCATTTACTATTTTAATATATTTTAAAATGTAATTTATTCCTGTGATGGCAAAGCTATTCAGCTATTCTCCAGAAACAGTTTTTATTATCAATGCTGAAACGAGTTTGCTATTTTTCTTAGTGCTACTTAATATTGTTGTGGAAACTGTACATTTTTTCAGCATTCTTTTAATAGAAAGTTAAAAAGAATGGCATTTATTTGAAAAATTGTAACAATGTAACAATTTAAAATTCTTTACTGTCATATTTGATCAATTTAATGTGTCCTTGCTGAATAAAAGTGTTTTATAAAAAAAAAAAAAAATCTTTCTGACTCCATACTTTTGAATGATTATTTATATAATGCATGTATATATGTATATCTATGTATTATTAATTTAACCCAAATTAATTAATTAGCATTGTTTTATATAGACACACGATGACCAAACACCAGTACTACCTGCAGCTGCGGAAGGATATACTAGAGGAACGGGTGCGCTGTGACCTGGAAAATGACATGATCTTGGCATCTCTGGCACTGCAGGCGGAGTTTGGGGACTATCAGACTGAGGTACAAAATTACATCGGAAAAAGAGATGAATATTTTATTTTTTATTTTATTAAGCTCCACTGAAAGTGCATTGTATTCAAAATATGAATTAAGTGTGATTTTTGTGAGAAAAAAAAATATATATATATTATTTTGACCATCTTAGCATCATCTTACATAAGTACATGTTTTCTTTGTGTTCCATCAGCTCCACGGAAGGACATATTTCCGGACGGAACACTACCTCCCTGCTTCGGTTCTGGATAAGATCGATCAGACCACCATTAAAGAAGAGCTACCCAAACTCCACAGCTTGTACTACAACGCTTCGGAGCAGGAGGCCGAGCTTGAGTTCCTCAAGGTCAGGAACTAAATGAAACGCATCAGTTCTGCAGTATGATTCTAGGCAGAGCTTCCCGATTGGCCAAACTTCCGTAATCGACTTGGAAGATTGTGCAGTCTGTTTTCTCTCAGATACTCTTGATTACAGCTTTTTGACTTTGAGAAGTCACAAGACCAAAAGTTGTACTTGGAACTTGGTTTTACACATTCACAGACATTAATTGGTTATTTTTTTGACGAGATAAGTGCTGTCAATTATTGTGAATAAACTGACCTTAAATATTTTGACTCAGTTCAATTTCCTTTCCTAATAGCTGTTGTTGTAGTCTGCATGTGATTAGATCCGTCTCGTCATTTCTCTGTTATGTAAAGGTGTGCCAGAGACTGCCGGAATATGGAGTTCACTTCCATCGTGTGCATCCAGAGAAGAGATCCCTGACTGGCATCATGCTGGGCATTTACTCGAAGGGTGTCCTCATCTTCGAGGTTCTGAATGGAAATCGAACCCCTGTGCTAAGGTTCCCCTGGAGGGATACCAAGAAGATCTCTTTCACGGTAAAGTGTTTAAATGTGCATGTTTACGTTTAGTGGAAATCACACGACCCAGAAAAAAGCCAAAGAAGTTCAGCTTCAGGAATGTCAGTAACACTCCTTATGTCTTTGTGTTTCTGTATGGCAGAAAAAGAAGATTTGCTTGCAGAACACTTCAGATGGGATCAAGCATCTGTTTCAGACAGACAGTCAGAAGACCTGCCAGTATCTGCTGCACCTGTGCTCGGCCCAGTACAAATTCCACCTGCACATGAAAGCCAGACAGAACAACCAAGAACTGCAAGACCTAGGTGAGAAGAAAAAAAAAAAGGAGCAAGCAAAATGGTGATGGAGAAATCAAACATTGATTCTTGTTTTTGATTCAAATTGTATATGTGACCCTGGAGCACAAAACCAGTCTTAAGTCACTGGGGTATATTTGTAGCAATAGCCAAAAATACATTGTATGGGTCAAAATTATTGATTTTTCTTTTATGCCAAAAATCATTAGGATATTAAGTAAAGATCATGTTCCATGAATATATTTTGTAAATGTCCTACTGTAAATATATCAAAACTTAATTTTTGATTAGTAATATGCATTGCTAAGAACTGGACAACTTTAAAGGCGATTTTCTCAATATTTAGATTTTTTTGCATCCTCAGATTCCAGATTTTCAATAATAGTTGTATCTCGACCAAATATTATCCTGTCCTAACAAACCATACATTAATGGAAAGCTTATTTATTCAGCTTTCAGATGATAAAACAGATGATAAATTTTGAAAAATTGACCCTTATGACTGGTTTTGTGGTCCAAGGTCACATATTTGTGGGCAAGAAAGGCAAGAAATTTATGATACTTGATTTCTTTATTTTTATGTGCCACTTCAAGTTTGGGCCAGTAAGATCTTATTAATACTTTTCAAAAACAATGAAATTATGGTATATTTTGAATAAATGCTGTTTTATTAAAACTTTTTATTTGTCAAAGAATCCTGAGAAAAATCAACATTGATAATAATAATTAATGTTTCTTGAGGAGCAAATCAGCATATTAGAATGATTTTGGAGGATCATGTGACTTAAGACTTAAAGTAATGGCTGCTGAAAATTCAGCTTGGCCATCACATGAATAAATTACATTTAACAGTTGTTGTAAATTGTAATAATATTCTGCAAAATTGTTGTTTTACTGTATTTTTGTTCAAATAAATGCAGCCTTGGTTAGCATAAAATACTTCTTTCAAAAACATTAAAAAAGCTTAAACATTAAAAAAACCCAAACTTTTGAGCAGCATTTAATGAATATTTACTTAGAGGAAAATTTAAAAACAGAATGTGATTTGTTTAATATTATAAAATTTTTATTCTATGACGAGAGTACAATTTCAAAGACAGAAGTAAGACCACTTGAGGACTTCTGATGTTTAATTTCTATAATTCAGAACTATTTGCATCAAAGAGAAAACAACTTTTAGTTTCAGGCAGAATATAAGAGTTAAACTCCTAGTTATTAAACAAAATGAGAAAATAGCAAGGAAAAGCTCATTTGAAATAAGAGACCTTGAGAAAATTGGGAAGTGTTCCAAAAGGCCCTTCCTCCTCAGGCTGCTCTTGAAGAATTGGCATTAATTAAACTGCAAGTGTCAGGTTTGAAGGTCAATGCAAGCCATGATGTAGAACTTTCTTGGTTGTGTAAAAGCCACAAATGCCATGTAAGCTGAAACTGTACTTTGCGTTTTCCCTCCAGAGAACTCTCCTCTGAGCAGTCTGCAGTACTCTGACGGGATGGGCGCAGTTAGTCTGTCCCCCAGCACAGACCCCGAACTCTACAAGAGGATGTCCTACTCTGAGATCTCCCTCAGCAAGAGTTTGAGTCGGATCTCTGTTCCACCCGAGCCGCCCTATCAGGGGTTCAGCAGCAGCTCCAACCCCAGGATGAAGAGTCGTTCCCATCATAACCTGGGTCAGCTGCCTGAGTCACCAGAGCACAGGATGGTGCCTTTCAGTAGCCAATCACAGAGCGGCATGCCACGATCACAAGTGCTTGCATCAACACACCAACGTGCAAGCTCCGACACAGACTCCATCGCCGTCGCCAGACAGCAGGAAGGGTAAGAGACACATGCAAACGTATATTTACAAAACAAATTACTGTTGCATTCTTGTCTTATTCACCGGTTGTCTTGTAGTATTTACATTCTCATCTCATCTCTCACCTGGAGTTTGTCTTATATGCAGGGTTTCAGTGGAGCATCAGAAAGCATTAAAAGTCATTAAATGGATTTTGCGAAAATTAAGGCCTTAAATAGCATTAAAAGTCATTAAATAAAATGCCCTTTAAGTAAAAAAAAAATGCCTTGGAAATCAATTTAAGGGGGCAAATATCACAGATATGCTGATTTAAGTAAGTAAGAACTGATGTAGGAGACTGAAAATATTGCTTCAGAATTATATTCACACCACCACCACAAAAAAAATCATTTTTTTCCTTTCCGGGCAAGTCCTGATTTAATACTCAGAGGAGATCCAAACAAAATTGCAATGAATTGAAAAAATTGTTTGGTCACTTTTAATTCCAACTCTGACTCATTATTCTGACTGAGGCACATGCATTACAGTTAAATAAAGTTAAAACTGTGTAATTTCTATAGTACTTGAATTTTTGCATAAGTTCCAGCCTTTAAAAGCTCAGAGTTTCAGAGTTTTTCCTTCACTGCACAGACTGATTGAATTTTGCATTATTGTTGAAGGAGGTCATTTGTATTTGATGGCGGTACAATTTGCACAAACAGAAACTAGGTGAGCAGAAGAGACTTGTTTCAAAAACATTACAAACCTTTGACCGGTAATGTGTGTGTGATGTACAGTATATATATATACTTGTCTTGCTCTGCTGTTTCACAATATTTTGACAGCTGTCTCCCTCTCCTGGTCAAGTGTAGTTTGTCTTGTAAATAATGTCTTTACACCCGTGTCAATCTCCTTATCTTGTATAATTTGTTTTTTAATCTCAAATAGAGAATAACTCATTTTGCCATTCTGCTTGTGTGCCTTTTTTTGTAAATCTTTACACTCATTTTACACTTATTTTACAATGTCTTTACACCCATCTCACAATTTTTTTCGGCTGTAGTTTATGATGTCTTTGTCCCCGTCTCACTCTCCTGATCCATACAGTTTGTCTTATTTCTTTCTACCTGTCTTAATCCTTTTTTTTTTTGCAGTTTTCTTAATGTCTTTACAACTGTCTCACTCTCCTGCTTTATTGTCTTTGCTTTACATTGTTTTTACACTTGTCTCACTCTTCTGCTTAGTTGCAGGTTGTCTTATGAGTTCACACCCGTCTTACTCTCTTGATTAGCATTGTGTGCATTTAAGTGGTTTTATACCCGTCTCACTCTCCTGCTCCTGAGTGATTTTTTTTTACACTCGTCTTGCACTGTAGCCCTTTAAAACACACATGTATCTATTTGTATCTATGTCAATCTCTTGATTTAATTCAGTTTGTCTTATTTCTTTATACCTGTATCAATCTCCTATTTTTTTTTTTACAGTTTTTTTTTTTTATATCTTTACACCTGTCTCACTCCCGTTCTCATTAATTTTTCCTTTACAATGTTTTTACACCCGTCTCACTCTTCTGCTTTGCTGCAGTTCATTTTCTCTTCACACCCATCTTTCTCTCACGATTAGCATTGTGTGCCCTTTAATGCATTTATACCTGTCTCACTCTCCTGTTCTGAGTGATTTTTTCTTTGTTTTGTTTTACAATATCTTTACACCTGTCTCACTCTCTACCACTAACATGGTTTCTCTTGTTTTCAAAACTCGTTCTGCTGTTTTCTCTCATATCTGTGCACTCGTCTCACTCTCCTGCTCTTCTATGCTTTGTTTTACAATATCTTTACACCCGTCGTCATCTCCTGATCAGTTGTAGTTTATCTTTTAAATTATGTCTGTCTCACTCTCCTAATCTTGTACATTTTGTTTTAGAATGTCTAATAGATAATAACTAACCATAAGGTCCTGCAGTGTGTCTTTTTCTGTATCTTTACACCCATTTTACACTCATTTTAAAATGTCTTTACACCTGTCTCACTCTCCTAATCTGCTGTAGTTTGGTTTATGTCTTTAAAAGAGTGGCAAGAGTCTACCGTCTTACATCTTTATACTTGTCTCACTGTCCTTCTCTGTTACTTTTGGTTTTTTATATCTGTCTCACTCTCCCACTCGTCTGCAGTTTGTGTTCTAATGTCTTTACGCCTGTCGCACTCTCCTGTTCTGCATTTCTCTGTTGCTCTGTCAGCCTGGCACTGAGCTGCCTGGGGCCAACAGCATTAATCAGCTCTCATGGGAGACAGACAGTCGCTGTGCATGTGAGAGTGACGGCAGATGTTTGCAAGCATTTTTATATTCCTGTGAAGATAATTGCAATGTTTCAGACTCCATGGTGTGATGCATGCCCACAGGAACAGTGCTCTTGTGAGGGAAGTCTTGATTTAGCAGATTGTAATTGCAGATTGCAGATTCGGTTTCTAAATATGCAGTGTTGCAATATTAGAGTTCCTCACTCCAGCAATATTATGGATTGATCAGAAAATGAAAATAACTGCATTTATTCTGCTCTGCCGCTGGAAGTAATTGCCTCTGCGCTGATTTTCATGATAATTTTCTTCATTCCCTGCATCATCACTGTGTTCAGCGCCACGGTCGATGACAGTCCCCGCTGGAGCCCGGAAATCTTGAAGAAAGAGTCCGACTCTTCCTCCTGTGAGGACACGGGACAGGCGTATGTCGTAGGTGAGGACAACGAGACACGGCCGGCTGTTTCTTTCTTATCTCTACTCGAACCTGCCTGGAAAATGGTTCATCTCACCTCAAAGAACGTGTCTTTCTGCTTTTGAATGTTCTTTTGCCGTCTCTGACTTCCTTGCTTTGTAGTCTCTCTCTTCTGATAGTCTGTCAGGATAGTGGGTGGAATCTGTCTGTGCCTCTCTCTGGAGTCAGCCGCTGTCTGCCTCTTTCGTTTGATCTTTTTAACAGCTCTCTCCCTCTGTTCCCTCACTGATCTTTTCATTTTACCTCTCCATTTCATCCCATCAGCCGCTGTCAGTTCAGAGAGAGCAGCAGCCCAAATCCTCTCAACATCTTCCTCCGCATGTAGAGCGATGCCATAAAGAGATTACAGTCTGAATTTATGTGCCTGTACAGTACATGCATCATTGCATTTCTATATGTCAGAGAATAATACAAGCGTTTATACAATTTAAAACCCACTGTCAGTGTTTGGCTGATGCTGGTTTTCAGTGGTTGTGGTTGATATTATACCGACTGGCTGTATGTCACAGTGATTTTAGCACGCTAAAGAATTGTTTTTGGATTAAATTTACCCTATTTATTTGCTTCATGCATGTTCCTGATTTTATTGTGCACAGCCTTTTGGTGCACATTCTGTAAATCCAAAGAAATATTTTTTCCTTTTCGGGTGACACAAAATTCTTTTTTTTTTTCTTCTTTTTTTTCAATCTCTTCATTTTGGAATGTAACACCATCAGTTCCTAGTGGAAATTAATTTGGAAATACATGATGTAAAATTAAAACACTGTTTTGTGTTATCTTTAACCATGATGAAATCATTATTATTGATTTAAAATGACAATATAAGACATCAGTCTTCAATACTTGGTATAACTGTGAAGGTGTATTGAAAAAAAAAAAAATTGGGTTAAAATGTTTTTGAAAGAAATCTCTTAATGCTCACTAAGGCTCCATTTGTTTGAACAAAAATTCAGTGAAAATATTGTGAAATATTATTTTAATTTAAAATACTGTTTTCTATTTTAATATATTTTAAAGTGTAATTTATTCCTGTGACTCAAAGCTGAATTTTCAGCAGCATGTATCTTTGATGAATATAAAGTTCAAAAGAACAATATTTATTTAAAATGGAAATCTTTTGTAACAATATGAATGACTTGAATGTTAATTTTCAACAGTAAAGATCAATTTAATTTTTCCTTGCTGAATAGAAGAATTCATTTCTTTAAAAAAAAAAAAAAAACTAAATATATTTTACTGACCTGAACTACAAAAAAAAAAAAAATTCAAATTGTTGAATAATATTTACTAATAATATGGACAAATAATATTTAATTATATTTGACTTACCCAATTAGAGTCAAACTATCAATTTTATAAAATATATAAAAGCAAATTAAATTAATTGGCTAAGATTTAGAATGCATTAATATATTAAAAATAAAAATATGTGCAAGAAAATGTGCATTATGCATTAACGTTATTGGTTGATTTTGAAAATGACACAAGGAAGGAATTGTCAGGATCTCAGGATATATTAATTTCCCCTTTTATACATATATTACATTTCTGATGTAGTTGTGTCTGTCTAGTGACTTGATTTGTTTTTTTTCTGATCCCCAGGTGTGAGCATGCACAGCTCTGGAGTGCCCTCTACTCCTGCCTCCTCCATAGGAATCACTGGTACGCTATATAATCATTTAGCTTTGTGTAGCACAGCACAGCTCTATGTACTTTTCTCCTTTTCTTCTGTTTCTTTTCAATAGTCAAATTGAGTAAGTCCTGAAAGTTGGTAGGAAATGTCATGTCCTGGTCTGGCTCTAAAACACAAACATCTGCTAAAATTGCAGTGAACTTTTAGTGAAGCAAAACAGGCCTGTTTTTAATGTCAATAACAGTAGTTTACCTCGCAGTGACACGACCTCCGCTTAATCAGAGCTCAGGAACCCAAAGTCTGACGAGAACTTGCCAAATCCAACATGCCCTGGATTGCTATGTCTTTGGTGTTTTACATGGCATGGAGAACTTCTTTTCAATGGCACTTCTCTCTAGCGCGCACACTCGGCTCAAGTTTCATTGGCGTCTGTCTCTGGCTCAGACTAAGCTGTGCGTTTTTTTGCAGCTCTGAAATACGGCTATGTTGTGGGCTAATCTCCCTCATCCTCGAGAATGAGCTGCTGGCCATGGCTGTTAGTGTAGCACATCAGAGCTGGGCCAAACATAATGCCGTCCCTTAGCACCAAGACACTAGTTATGAAAGATTAGCCCAGTTTATGGAGAGCTGTGCATGTGTTTGATATGTTTAATACCAATACAAACACACAGAGCAAGCGTTAGTCTGCTTTCGCTAGCTCTTCCCTCTAAAAGAGCAGGTCTTCAACTTGTTACAGCACAGATGTATATAATATTTCCTAACTATTCTGTATTTGAACAATTGAAAAAAAGCAAAATTTTTCACATATACATGTTTATTTTGTAAATTATGTATAGTTATTTATTTTTAAATATAATGAGATCTGAATGAGATGACAAAATTTACTGTTTTACTAAATGTATATAAAGCGTTAGATCAGTATATATAAAATTGTAAAATAAAAAGTTAGTAAAGTCAACTAAAATTATAGTTAACTGAAACTAAATTGAAAAGCATTAAACAAAATTTTGATTACTTCAAATTAAATAAACGTTAACTTAAAATATTACTTTTTTTTTTTTTACTTTTTACAGCATCTCATTTTAATTTAACTTGATATACTAAAATAACTAAAATTACAACTGAAATGACAAATGAAATGAATAAAAACTACATAGACATTAGTGATGCGCGGATGAGCTAAAACGTCACCCGAATCCGCAGCTTCAAATAAATTATCCACCCGCCAACCGCCCGCACCTGTATTTTTGTCTGATTTAGATAACCGCACCCGACCCGCACCCGATCATCACATTAGGGTTCGTACGGTCATGAAAAACCTGGAAAAGTCATTGAACAGCAATTTCCAGGTTTATGTAAAAATAAATAAACTCAAAAAGTTTTTGAAAAAATCATGAAAATCTATTTCACAATTCTCTGTATAATAGAATTATGTTTAATCAGATCCTGAATTTCGTTGCGGGATTGCGCATACATCGCATTACTCATTCCCGCAGCTTTCGACTTTAAAATGAGGGAAATTACTGCAAAACCTTTATTCAATATAGCGGTTAGATGAGTAAATAAATCCACACAAACCATCAGATGAAAACAGCATAAGTGATTCAGCTGTACCGGGTCTTCTCTCTTTGACTTTCGCTTCACATCGACGCATCTAGAGCTGCTGCACGCTGCGATAGAAGACTTTAGCTCGCGTTTCGGGACAGTTGACAGAATTGTCAATAGCCTGAAATTTATTGTTGCATCGTCACAAAAATGTATTATTTTCACGTCTTTTTAAGCCATTCGGTACTCGCGCTCTCCAGAGGCGCGTGCGCTCACAGTCACATCCAAAGCGCGTACTGCCAGTACCAAATTGAGAAAGTAGGCTACTGTCGGTTTTGTCTTAAGTTAATGAGTATCAGTATTGGATCCGTGAAATAGGTCTTGTGACAGCAGCCTAATAAAGCTGTGCCGTCTTTTATTAATGTTAATCAAACAACAAAAGACAGAAAAAATCCCTTACTGCTCTTGACTAAATAATGTTTTGTTGAATAACTTTTAATGTTAATTTACAGTTTATTCAATTTCTGTAGCCTATTTAAAACACGTTCATAATTTAGAAAATGTAGTTAATACTTGCATTATTAATGATTTATTTTATCCACCCGCGACCCACCCGCAAATAATCAGAATGCATTTTTTTATTACCCGACCCACCCGATCCGCGGATTATCTGCAGCGCCCGCGGATATAACCGCCATCCGCGCATCACTAATATAGACATATATAGAAAAAACTACTAAAAAACACAATTACTAAAACTTTATCTAAAATAAAAATGAAAACATAAAATGTAAAAATAAAAACTGATTCAAAACAATATAAATCAATAATCAGTTTTTATTAATCAGTTTTATTTAATAGTAGTTAAATAGTAGTAACAGTATTATTATTAGTAGTTTTAGTAGTATTTTTAATTAATTAATGAATTATGTATTTTTAATCTATGTAGATTGGTTAATTTAATGAGTCAGTGAAGACAAGCAAAATTGAGTAAAGCTGCGTTATGGAAATATTAAGTGGGACCCACTTTATATTAAGTGGCCTTAACAACTATGTACTTGCATTTAAATTAATAATTTGGTACAATGCAATTATTGTGTACATACATGTTTTTACATTGTACTTATATTTTAAAAATACCTGCATGTAATTACATCTGTAATTAATTTATGTAATTACATTTATAATTACACAGTTGACCCATCCCTTACACCTTAACCCACCCTTAAACCTACCCATACCAACAAACCTGTCCCTAACCTTACCCGTATCCCACCTCAATAGCAGCAAAAGTGTTTTGCAATACAATATGAACACAATAAGTACACTGTACTTAATTTTTGATGTAAGTACATAGTAGTTAAGGCCACTTAATATAAAGTGGGGCCATTAAGTGTAATATAAAATTATAGATGTGTGTGTGTGTGTGTGTGTGTGTGTATATATGTATGTATGTATGTGTGTGTGTGTATAAACATACCATATGACCCCTTTAAAATGAAATGAAAGATCACTGTGGTCTGTAGAGATATATTGTTTTTTTTTCCTTTCTTTTTTTTATCCTTTTTTTTTTTCAATTTTCAAATGTAAATCTGTGAACAAGACTTAAATTTTTTAATTGTGTTCTTTGGATTAACCTTAATAACACTGGGTGTTAGTTATCAAAGTGTGTTTATGTATGAATGAACACGCTCTGTTTTAAAACCCAGACCTCTTCCCCTCTGGTATATCCCACCCACAGACTCCCTGAAGAAGAAAGTAAATGCCTTACCCTCCCCAGAGCGAGAGATACAGACCGTAAATCTGAAGAAAGACGTCAAGTATGGGCTGGGTGAGTAACAAGACCCTCTGCTGCCAAAACGGGTTCACATGTCCAGTCACAGAAATGCTGTTAAACGGCCGGATTATCAGAACACACATCTCTCTTTCTCACACACACACACACACACACACACACACACACACACGACTGTGAGAGGAATAAAGCGTAGTGTGATAGAGTGCAGAGGTCTGGCAGAATGTGCTGTTTTACGTCCACCTCAGATGGTGACTGAAATATCTTATCAGGATTCAGCCTGAATAAGAGGTTGGCGATCATTAATAGAAGTACATTTAGTATATGCACAAATGACAGTTTAAGTAAGACATCTTTGACTCTTTGTCCTTTTGTAGTGACACAGCAGAATGAAGTGTGTGGTTTGTGTTGCGCTCAGGCTTTCAGGTCGTAGGCGGAGAGAATTCTGGCCGTCAGGACCTCGGCACCAGCATCAGCTCCATCACATCAGGTGGACCAGCAGATATCAACAGCTGTCTGAAACCAGGTATGAAACTGGAGAGGAGTGGTGCTTTCACCCTTGATTCTTTATTTATATGTAATTCTTTGAATTTTATGGTTGGAAGCATCATCCGTTTTAGTGGAGAAGTTCACAAAACTATTATTACTAGCTATTGTTTGTAATACTTTAAAATACTGTGCAATAACTTTTAAATTATTTTAGAATACTTTTAGAAAATGTAAGGATTGCTTTCCCATAATCCCATAATTCTGGAATTGTTTTACGGGAATAAAACAATTCCAGAATTATGGGATTATGGGAAAGCAAACCTTACATTTTCTAAAAGTATTCTTTTAAGGATCATTATATCCTTAAATCCAAAAGATTTTGGAACACTTTAAAACGGTTCCAGAAATCTTTGAATGATTACATATCACTGTGTATTTTAGTAAATTGAGATACTATTATATTTTTGATTCATATTTTGAATTACTTTTATCTTGATATTTTCTGTTTTCATTTTAATTTGAAAGTTTTACTTTTTTCTTGTTTTTGATTTTTTTTTTTTTTATGTCAATACAGGTTTCATTAATGTGTATTTCAGCTTTACTTATTTTAGTTTTAGTTTTAGTTGACTATAATAACTCAATTCCCGAACGCTTTAAAGATTTTGGATTGTTCAGTGTAAGGTTGTTAACTCCACATTTTTGCATTTCCTGAAGGTGACAGGCTGTTGAGCGTGAATGATGTCAGTCTGGAGAGCCTGTCACATGACACTGTGGTGGAGATTCTGCAGAAAGCCCCTGATGATGTCACACTGGTGGTCTCTCAACCTAAAGAGAGACTGTTTCCAGGTAATGGAAATGATATTTTTGCAACTATATGCACGATGCAGTAAGATTCCACCAGGATATTGCTGAGAATAGGCTTTTCTGGAGAAATTGTGTTATTTAGATGACAATACCATAAACGAGCCTCTTTTTGCCTCTCTTAGACTCTCCTTCAGGAATCCATCACTATAAATCAGCCTCACAAAATCAGGAAGTAGAGGTCGACTCTTCCTCTGAAGATCATACACACTCCCCCAGCCCTCCTCCTGTCTCCAGCAAGACATCTCCACCTCAGTCGGTTCGACAGGGGAGCATCAGTTCGCAGGACTCCAGGACCGAGAGTGCCAGCCTCCTGCAAACGAATCTCAATGGATTCCATCGCAACATTCCCACTGAGGGTCCCGCACCCGTGCAGTCGCTCGCCGCTGACAGCAAACCCTCTGTTGAAGCTACACCACCAGCTTTGCCCCCTAAAACCAGAAAATCCAAAGTGCCGGACGTTCCTAAAGAGCTGGAATACTCAGACAGAGGGGATTCGGACATGGATGAAGATACATACTCAAGTAGCCAAGAGAAACAAAAGACTAAAAAGGTAGAATCAGTCTCTGTAGTGATTTAAATGAACTTTGACTCTCGCCTCAAGGTTTTGAGTTTCTAGTCCGCATCTGTTTGAAATGAACTTTGAGATGTGTGCTTTTTAAGATGCTTAAACTTCACAGAAATTATTAAATTGCTTTTTTTTTTGGAATAAATAGGACAGTTCTCCCTTGCTCATTGCATCCCTCCTTGGAGTTCCCTACATGCGATCAGATGCAGAACATTATTCAGGATTTTCAAACATATTTCATATTTACACTGTGTCCTAACCAGGTGCGATCAGACAGCTTTTTAACAATGAACTCAACATGTTTAGTGGCACTTGCCAAGGAAAACATCCTTAAAACTATTAGTCATTCTAGGATTAGGGATGTCAAATTCCTCCACCATTTGGGTTACAGACATTCTTTTCTAAGCAATTTCAGTATCCCATAGACTTGCATTGAATGAGGTACTTAAGCCAAGTTTGGGGTCAGTAAGATTTTTTAAAATGTTTATGAAATGCTCACCAAGGCTGCATTTATTTGAACAAAAATACAGTAAAAAACAGTTATATTGTGAAATAATATTGCCATTTAAAATAACTGTTTTCTGTTTTAATATATTTTGAGATGTAATTTATTTCTGTGATGCAAAGCTGAATTTTCAGCATCATTACATCAGCCTTCAGTCTCACATGATTCATCAGAAATTATTCTAATATGCTGATTTGCGGCTCAAGAAACATTTCTTATTGTTATCAGTGTTGAAAACAGTTGTTCTGCTTAATATTCTTGTGGAAACCCAGATACGTTTTTTTCAGGATTCTTTGATAAATAGAAAGTTCAAAACAACGACATTTATTTGAAATAGAAATTTTTTAAATACATCTTTTTTGAACATAAATACCTTCATTTTTGAAACGTTTTATGCACCCTTGCAGAACAAAACTATTAAATTCATTAAATAAAAAATAATCGTACTGACCCCAAACTCCATAGAAACCACATGAGACCACTGAAAAATGGACCAATGGAAATTCAGTATGGGCAGTGCTAAACATCACAGCTAAGTGACTGAGAAAATCTTTTGTATTTCATTGCCATAAAATCTGTGTACTGTAGTTCAAAAACTTGTCGCTCCGGGTTAGTACATCACATATAGAATTTCATATTTATCAGTTCCACATTTCTTAGACCTTCCCTTTAAAAGCTAATATCACACTTTAGGTTCAATACATACACTTCAGAATCACACAAATGTCAAATATTAATGAAAACATTCTAACTGCTTGCGACCGTCCCTCGCTCCCTTTCTGACCAATTGCATTTCTGAATGTAAATGCAATGCAGTTTTGCATGTCAACACAATTAACCTCTGACCCCTTGACCCTTGCATGTGTACGGCTGTGCACGGCCTTGTATTTACCCAGCTCTTCTCTATTTACAGGGCGTTTCTCCCAACATCGTCACGGAGACTTTAAATGCTAGTAGCCCAGAAGTCAATAGCCTCCAGCCTGGAGATCTATTTGACGTTGAGCTGTCCAAAATAGACAGCAGTCTGGGCATTAGTGTCACGGTACTGTTCGGAAAGGTTTCCGCTCTCTCTTTTTTTTCTCCTTTGTTTCCCTTTGACTTACTTTTTGTGTGTGTGTGTGTGGTTGTTTTTGTACCCTTAGCCCTCGCTCCTTTCTGAAGCTCCTCGCTTGGCTTCAGTTTTGGGAAAGTAAATTTGGCTCTTTGCATGCAGATTTTTACAGGCATTTGAATTGGCTCCTTCACTAACGGTAAAGCTGAAACACAGTAGGTACAGCAAAGTGCCGAAACACGCACGGCCAAGACAACATGCCACATTTACAGTTTTATTGTGTTCATAACAGAAGCACCAATGCCTGCATGGATTTGCATTCGCTTGTCTGCGGTTTGATTTTACAGTGATCTTTTCTGAGATTCACGAGCATGTGGTGTTATGTAGACCTTGTGACTTTATGATTTACATTTTTTATTTTTTTTTGAAAATTCAGTTTTTCAAAATACTGCAATGAAATTGCATTAATCATCAACTCAAGAAATCAAGTGGTTTGCTTTGATTATGCTTCACTCATAATCTACAAAATATAAAATGAGAATGTCCAGTTGATTTCTTAATACATGCATAGATCCAGAACACAGATCATAGGCATTTTTTCCCCATGATGCTTTTCTTTTTGGGTATAGTAACATGTTTGTCTGTCTCAGGGTGGATCAAACACAACAGTGAGGCATGGAGGGATATACATCAAAGGTGTCATTCCTAAAGGAGCAGCTGAGCTGGATGGGAGGATAAAGAAAGGTAAAAATTAATTATTTAAACGTACAGTTTTAAGTATACATCATTGTAGTACTTATTTTACTGAATGTAATTAAATTATATTATTATATGTATTATATAACTATATTCAATTATATACATTTTAAATAGATTTTATTTTTTTTAAATTCATAAAATTAATTTTTAAAAAGAATCATTGTGTCCAGACATTTAAGATTTTACAGAAATAATGCCGTAATGCAAAATAATAAAATAAATAAATAAATACAAATAAAAAATAAATAAATAATAAAATAAATAAATATCTTTGAGTTAGAAAATGGGCTACATTTTCTTTTTAATAATGAAATATAATATTAATTTTAATATTCATTCAAAAAAAGATTAATTTTCTGTTTTATAGAAGTTTTATAATTTTAGGCTTTTGACTGCTTTCAGTGTAAAAAGCCAATGGAAATTCAGTATGCAAGAATATTCAAGAAAAAAAGGCAATTCAAAATTCATTATGCAAATATTACAAAGACATCATCAATATAAAATAGTATAATGTTAGATCATTTAGAAAAAAAAAAATGTAATATTAATTTCCTGCGATCCTACGTAGAACAAGCAGTTTGGAAAAAATGGATAGATTATAATAATGTAATGTAATATAATATATATATAAAAAATAATAATAATGCAACATTAAGTTCCCACAACCCTACCTAGGACAAGCAGTTCGGACACTGTATTATATAAATTAAATAATATAATATTTTTCGTATTTAGACAATCTGTATTTTTTATCACATTCCCAATTCCAAAATTGCAATTACATAAGCCTGTGTGTTGATTTTGTGTGGTACAGGAGATCGTGTGGTGGCTGTGAACGGGAAGAGCCTTGAAGGAGCGTCTCACAAACAGGCAGTAGAGATGTTGAGAGATACTGGCCAGGTGAGAATTCTGGGTGTAAGGCTGCATTGCGCCGTCTAGAGGACTGCGCTTCTCTGAAAGTTTAACTATGTTTTTTGTTTTTTTATAAATTCCCACTGTCTAGATGGTGCATCTATTGATGGAGAAAGGTCAGCCCCCAAAAGACAGCATTCATGCCCCTCTGACTCCGCAAGGCACTTCTGAACCTCAGAACGCAGCCGTGGAGGAACCGCCGCCACCACCACCACCACCAAAGAAAGCAGAATACAACTTCATTACACCAGGTATGAGGTGGAATCGACACACTTGTTGACGAACATATTAAAATGTGCCAGAGGTTAAACCTGAACCTCAGAACGCAGCCGTGGAGGAACCGCCGCCACCACCACCACCAAAGAAAGCAGAATACAACTTCATTACACCAGGTATGAGGTGGAATCGACACACTTGTTGACGAATATATTAAAATGTGCCAGAGGTTAAACATGTGGGCTGGTTTTTGAACTTTGGTTAAATCGGTGTCCTCTTTCTTGTTTACCCCCTCCAGATAACACATTTGATGTGGGTTTGCTGAAGAACATGTCCGGTCTGGGCTTCAGTTTCAGCCGTGAGGAGAACATTCCCGGAGAGCCTGTGGGCTCCAGCATGGTCCGGGTCAAGAAGCTGTTTCCAGGGCAACCAGCAGCTGAAAGTGGCTGCATCGAAGTGGGTGACGTCATTCTGCGTGTCAATCAGACGTCACTCAAAGGACTGTCACAACATGTGCGTTAACCCTTTACTTCAGTCTGTGAGGAATGCTAAAAATCCAAACATAGAATAGCGTTATTAAAACATGTCTTTTCTTCTTTGGTGTTTGTCAGGAGGTGATCTCTGCTCTGAGGGGCACAGGACAGGAGGTGACCCTTCACTTGTGTCGACCTGCACCAGGGGTCTTACCTGAGATGGACCCTGCCATTAAAGTAAGACTTTTAGTTTTCATCTCGCTCATCTTAATTCAGGTCCATGCATCACATTCATTTATCTAAAGGAATATTCTGCTTGGTTTTCACTCAAGAAAATCAGGAAAAGACAATGCAAATTACAGCTACACATATTCCATGATAAAGGTAGTGCCACCACAAAAGACAGATTAATTTTTATTGAGTCTTATTTTGAGTCTTATTTTATTTTTGGTCTTTATTTTTATATATATTTTTAATTTTATTTTTATTTTAATGAGTGTTTTGTTTTATTTATTGCTATCTCAGTAGCTCTACAGTGATCCACCTCAATTTTTACACTAACAGCCTACCTGTTTTGAGATATTGTACATCTTTAAAATAAAATCTAAAATTGACCCTCCCCAGACTCCCGTACCCTCTCCACGAAAAGAACCCCGTCCCAAGCCCCAGCCTGATCCCAAGACGAGCTCCCCGCCTCAGACGGAGTGCCCTCGGGCGGTGGGTGCTGTGGAAGAGGCTCTGGAGAGGCTGATGCTGAAGTCGCCCAGTCGCAGAGACAGTTACAGCGACAGCACAGACAACGACGAGCTGGAGGAGGCCTTCAGCCCCACCAACCTGGAGCAGGCCAGTCAAGCCTGGGACCGGAGTGTCTACCAGACCCCCATGGGAAGACTCCCAGACGAGGCCAATATGGATGACACTGTACGATCAGCTTATTACTCACCCAGACAGTCCATGTCTAGACCGGATGTCAGCAGAAGGTCAGAAATGTATTCTTAAAGCATAAGACTAAAATTTTTTGTGTTAATATATGTGCTTGCATGTAAGAGCCTCTAATAACTTGGCTTTGTCTGTCTAAACAAGTCTTTTAGAAGTAAACACTGTTCTTGCATAAGCAAACTTGGTTGTTTAATATAATTGGGCCCAGGAGTTCAGGTGTGACGGAACTAATTCTCTCCTGTGGGAGTGTCATGTGACTCTGTCATAAAACATGACAACCAGCAGCAGTGACGCACTTGTTTGCACTGCTGAATGCAGTGTGATAGAGCAGTGGTTCCCAACCCTGGTCCTGGAGGCACCCCAACACTGCACATTTTGCATGTCTCCTTAATCAAACACACCTGATTGGCCCCAGGCTGTCCTTGCAAAGTTGGAACTGCCCCACTTTATAGAACAGCCTTTGAGCACAGACCTTCCATAAAATGCGTCACACAGCGTCACACACGACGGGCTTGAGTGAGCGGAGGCCGGCGCCCTTGAGAACGGCGCGGCCGGCGGATTCGACGAAGGAACAGGCTTGCGGCAACACCAAGAGCTTGTAACACTCCAAAGAGAAAGGAAAATTTTAAATCGCATCATATGACCCCTTTAATTAAGTTGTAGTTCTTTTACATCAAGTTTAACTAAATGAAAAAAGATAAATGTTTATAAAAATAAAATATTTAAATTTAACATTTATTTCTTTAAATTAAGTTTTTTTATATTTTATTTAAATTAATGTTTAGTTTTAGTTAACTATAATAACCCTGGCAGGTAGTATTGATGGGAGGGACCTTCTGATTTTAGAGAGTATTACATTGGACAAACATTTCCATACTCCCCTGGAAACAAGGGTCTTTTACTTTTAGTCCATTTTCTGGTTGATATGTCTGCTAAAGGGTTAATTTAGTAAATTCTCGTTTTATCACTACACTACCATATACAACCAACACACAGACTAAAAGCTGGTTTTAAAGTTTTTATTTTACACATTGTAATTCATCTTCATTCTTCTTCCTCTGTTAATAGGTCAATAACACAGATGTGTCTGGCATGAATCACACCGAGGTGGTCAACCTGGTGCGTGCCGCCCCCAAAGTCGTGGACATCGTGGTCGGCCGCATTCTAGAACCTCCCAAACCCCCAATAGAGGCCCACCTCCTTCCTGACATCATATTTCAGTGCCACGACGAGTCCCTAGGTAATGGAAACATCAACATATATGGTAACCGATCCTCTTTACCACTCAGTAAAGTTCTCAGAAATACCCAGAATGCTGCTGGATAAGTGTATATGCAGCAGATAAGTGTAACTGCTGCATTCGACCAGTTTGTGTGGCACTTTAGTGTTATCTGACCGTCAGAGGTCAACGGGGCTTTACTGGGTCACACAAAAACACAGATATCCATCAGAATAAACAAAGCCCACCTGCGTTTCACTGGAAAAATTAGCTCATGGGGATAGACAACAAGCCAGATAAGGGTGTCAGGTTTCAGCTTGCTGACAAAAAAGCAAAAGAAAGAAAAAAAGAAGGTGGTGTTAGGGTTAGCGCAGCTAAGTTTGTTTTCTGGGCGTCTCTTGCAGGTCTTGTTCTCGATGGAGGAAGTGACAGTGGGTTGGGCGTGCTGTACATAAAGGACATCATCCCAGGATCCGTAGCCTCTGCGGAAGGCAGTTTGAGGCACTTGGATATCATACATTATATCAACGGCGCTCCGACGCAGGATCTGACCTTGAGCGAGAGCCGCAGACTCCTGCAGCTGTCACTGAGGAATCTGAGTCTCAAAGCCACCAGGTGAGTTACTCGCATGATACGACTCGCTTCAAGTTCATCCAAATTACTTTCAGGTGTTGGAAAGATACTTTTGATGGACCTTTGTTGTCAGTTGTTGTATGAAATGTGTAATACTTCTGGACAGATGCCATTACCTATCTATATTTCCATAGGGATGGGAAGCCTGTTTTTCCGGGTGAAGAGCAGATTTCATTACTAAACAATAACATCAGTCCTAAAGTCTCGCAGAGTATGAACGGTAAGTGTAATGGGAATAAACTAGCAGTAACTGCACACTTTTGTCAGAATTGAATCACTGTTTTATAGTTTGGGGTCAGTATGATTTATTTATTTTTCTTCTTTTTTTAGTCTTTATGCTCACCAAGGCTGCATTTATTTGATTAAAATACAGTAAAACAAGTCATATTGTCAAACTGTGTTCTATTTGAACATATTTGAAAATGTAATTAATTATTGTCATGCAAAACTGGATTTACTCCATTTATCCAGTCTTCAGTATCACATCATTTTCACATGATCCAGTCTTCAGACACATGCTGATTTGAGAAATTCTTTAGAAACATTTTTATTATTATTATCAATGTTGAAAACAGTTGTGCTGCTTAATATTTTTATGAAAACTCTGAATTTTTTTTTTTTGAGTAGAAAAGAACATCATTTATTTAACAGAAAACATTATAAATGTCTTTACTGTCAATTTTAATCAATTTAATGCATCATTGCTAAATAAACGTATTAATTTCTTTAAAAAAAAAAAATAATAAATTATAAATGTAAAGTTTGTAAAGTTCCCTTTGACTTACACTGATGCAATTCTGGTATAATGTAACCGTCAGTGAAGATGTCATCATAATATTTGCATACTGAATTCAAATTTGCCTCCTTTCTTGCATGTATTACTTATTTGTATACTGAGTTCTCATTGGTCATTTACACAGAAACAAGCAGAAGCAAAAACCTAAAACTAAACCTTCAGGAAATGCTAACCTAGTTCTATTGTAAAATGTTTGTCTCTTATATGACTTTAAGCTAACGTCACCTCTTAACTATGGTAAAATCACTGTAACACATGATCCAGTGTGGCTTATAGCTTTACTTTTCTTGTGATTTGATGGCATTCTGATGCTTGAGTTAGTAGTGCTGTAACTCTTCTGCTTGTAAGCGGAGTAATATACACAGTGGCCTCATTTCTCTCTTTGTATCATAGGTTATCTCCATAGCAACGATCGTAACGAATTCGAGGCCCTATCCGGTATCTGTCCCGCTGAGGTAAGGATCTGTAGAACTTCTGGTAAACTATTAGCTAATATTGATCGGTGCTGCTCTGGCTAAATGTTTTATCACTAAAATACACCGACTTCAGAAACAGAAACTATTGATATTCTAGTATGGGTGCTGCTATTTTGTGGCGTGTGAGTCGGGACACAAACGGCCTGAAATTGAAACTGAGGCAGGTCACACAGACAGGTCAGATTTCTGCAGTCTGTGAGCTACAAGAGGAACTGGTGAGAGGAATTTGAGTCGATTTTTAGGAAACACCGCAGCGAACGGCAAACATTGAGGCTTCTTCCGTCTTTGAACTCACTGGAATTGTTAATGTGATTTCATTGTCAACTTATCACCAATTTTTTCCTCATCTCATTCATTTTGAATTCTTTATTTAACCCTTTTCTGGTCTAATGTGTTTACAGGAGCAGATTGTGAAGCTGCAGTTGGAGAAGCCGCCCGCAGGAGGCCTGGGCTTTTCTGTGATTGGTGGAGAGAGGGGTATTTTCGTGAAATCCATCACCCCTGGAGGCACTGCAGACACTGCAGGCACATTGCAAGTTGGCGATCGTTTACTGAAGGTACGGAACCAACGTTTTTGATAAAATGCAGTACATTGTTTTTAAGTTCTGAAAGCTAATTCTGTGGTTGCGTTTATGTACAGGTCAATGAGGATCTGATGATCGGCGTGTCTCACTCTAAAGCCGTCACCACCATTCGTAAAGCTAAAGGCTTGGTGCACCTCATCGTCTCCCGTCCAGCTGACCAAATGCCCAACACGTACCTGGGCTTTCTGCCTCTCAAATCCAGCGGTGTAAATGGCAACAACGGTACGGCCTGCAAGTCAACGATCTCAAATATAAAAATAAAAATAAATAAAATACTTTTTTTTTTTAAATATATATATTTTTTGTAGATGTATATGTTTAGTAGAAATATTTTTTTTATATATCTGCTAAATATATGTATCTTTAAAATAAATATTTAAGAAAAATTCTTTAGGGTTCTTTCTTTAATTTATACATGTATTCAAAATGTTTACTTTTTTATTTTTATTGCATAAAAAAAGAGCAGTAATTTAGTCTTACAAAAATCTGTTTCAGATGTGAGTGAGGACAGCGGTGTGAAGACAAAAATCCAGACGCCATCAGAGCAAAGCAAGACCAACAACCCACCTCCCCTCCCTCCGACAGGTACAGAAAAGATCACATGATCAGTCTGATTTTAGTGTCATTGAGATGCTACTATAGATTTTATTCAAATGTTTAATTAGTTTAGTTCAATTTTATTAAACATTAATCATTTTATTATAACATTTAATTGTAATATTTTATGATGTATTACTTTTTAATATAATACATTTATTAAATATTAATAACATATTATCAAAACAATAAAATAAAATATTAAATTATATGTATATATTTTCAATTTTAATTTTAGTAATTAGTTTTAGCAATTTTGTTTTCATTTTTATTATTTTATTTAATATTTCTATATTTTTATTAAGTTAATTAAATATTTGTAGTATTTGTTTTATCAAGCATATTTTAGTAATTTCACTTAATGTTTATTTTATTTCAAGCAAAGTTCAAGTTATTTATAAAATAAAATATTAAATTATATGTATATATTTTCAATTTTAGTAATTAGTTTTAGCAATTTTGTTTTCATTTTTATAATTTTTTTGTAATTTCTATATTTTTATTAAGTTAATTAAATATTTTCAGTATTTGTTTCATCAAGCATATTTTAGTAATTTCACTTAATGTTTATTTTATTTCAAGCAAAGTTCAAGTTATTTATAAAATAAAATATTAAATTATATGTATATATTTTCCATTTTCATTTTCATTTTAGTAATTAGTTTTAGCAATTTTGTTTTCATTTTTATTAGTTTTTTTATATTTCTATATTTTTATTAAGTTAATTAAATATTTTCAGTATTTGTTTTATCAAGCATATTTTAGTAATTTCACTTAATGTTTATTTTATTTCAAGAAAAGTTCGAGTTATTTCATGAAAATGTTTTTTTATTTTTTTTATCTTATGGTTTAGTTAGCTATAATAACCCCACATGACACATCATTCTGGCAGATGGGTCATCTGAAAGTCACCTGCAGATGTGAGAGTGGGGTATTTACATGATCAGGATTGTGTGTGTGTGTGTGTGTGTGTTCTAGACTATGACACAGGCTCTCTAGAGAAAGGGAAGGGAACAGAAGGAAGTGGTGACCTATCAGAGGACACAGACTGTGACGGCTCATCTCTGCCGGAAGACTCCCCAGAGGTACAGCCATCTGTAATCAAACTTTGAATATCTGCAGTTTTACAGCAGTCAAACTGCGTTCATAAGACCTGATCTAATAACAATGGACTTTGAGGTGATATTATTGACTTAAAACAATGCATCTGTTTATCTGAACTACATGCTATGTTCTTCTGTCTTCAGACGTCTCGGAAGGCTGAGTGGAAGGAAGAAAATGTTGATGACCCACTCAACGACAGGTGAGGAAAACAATTCTACTTTCATATGACCCTTCGAATAATTTTACATCAGCAGCGTGTATGTTTTTGTTCAGCTTAAACTCAGAAAATATAGTGAAAGTTCAGTGCATTTTACTATTAATCAATATGATTTTCTGAAACACTTTCTATTCAGTAAACATGACTGAATCCAGACTTTTTGTAGTTAAGCACTTTATACAGTATAGAGTAGATTAAATATTGTTTGGATGTACACTACTGTTGAAAAGTTCACTGTAAATCAGTATGAAAGCGCAATGAAAGTCTGCTGTTGTTTGTCGAATTGTGTTATTCATTCATGCTGTACTGTGTGATCTACAAGAATGACTGAACCTGACAGCTATGTCCTCAAGCAGGATTTAATTTTGCAGGTTTGTTCTGAGCAAATCTCCCTCTCTTCTTAGTGCACTGCAGTCATCGTCGGGTCAGCTGGATGAGGATGAGATCACATGGGGGAGTGACGAGCTGCCGATGGAGAACATCAGCTCTAAATTTACTGAGGGTCAGTCAGCTGTTGAAACCACCACTCTGTTTCTCGTAGAGAAATGGACCGTTTTCTTATTGTACTTCAATACAAATGGGTTGTAAAGCTCAGATCTTACTCATTGAATTGGGTTGTCTCGTTGTTGATGCTACACTTGTTCTTTTCACTCTCTCTTTCTCAGATGGACCCATTGTCACTGGGGAAGAGTTGACGTCTCTGCCTCTGGTTAAAGTGGTTCCTGACGGTCATTATACATCCACTAACCTCAACACTATAGTCCGCATGATGAGAGGCCTGCTGGAACAGAAAGTTCCTCTGCAAGAGTTTGAGGTACAGAAAATGTTTCATTGTACTATATACGTATAGATAAAGTCTGTATTTTTTATATTAGAACATTTTCTTCGGTTACAAGAAATTATAAACCGGCCTTAAATTATTTCATGCATATTTGAACTTTTTATGTGTAGAAGTTTAACACCACTATTTTTTTATTTTTTTTTTGAAAGAAATTAATACTTTTTTTCAACAAAGATGCATTATATTGATCAGAAGTGACAATAAAGACATTTATAATGTTTCAAAAATGTCAAACGCTGTTCTTTTGAACTTTCTATTCATAAAAAAATCCTGGAAAAAAAGTATTTCCATAAAATTATTAGGCAGCACTGTTTTCAACATTGATAATAATAAGAAATGTTTCTTGAGCAGAATATTAGAATGATTTCTGATTAAATCTTGTGACATTGAAGACTGGAGTAATGATGCTGAAATTCAGCTTTGTATCACAGGAATAAATGACATTTTTAATAAATATTAAAATGAAAAATTGCTATTTTAAATTATTATAATATTTCACAATATAATTTTTTTTAACTGTATTTTTGATCAAATAAATGCATGCAGCCTTGATGAGCATGAGAGACCTCTTTCAAAAACATTTATTGCTGATCCCAACATTTTGAAGTTTGCCAGTATTTATTTATTTATTGGCATGAATGTAGCCTTTGATGCCAATATGGATATACAAAATACATTTTAATGTGCATATTGTTTTCTTTCAAAGAACCTGCAGAATTTGCGCCCCTTGGATGATTGTCTGATTGGTCAGACTAAAGAGAACAAGAAGAAAAACCGATACAAGAACATCGTTCCATGTGAGTTAGGAAAAACACTGACGTATTAACAATGCATGTTTCTCTGACCTTTTTTGTATATTAATTTCCGTAATTGATTTCCACTCTTTTCCTATTTATCTCTATGAAGCTGCTTTGACACAATCTGTATTATATAAAGCACTGTAGAAATGAAGGCAACTTGATTTGACTTAAATCTCTCTTCTTCATGATTCAGTCGACACAACCAGGGTCATGCTGGGGAAGGATGGCGGCTACATCAATGCCAACTTCATCAAGATGCCTGTGAAAGACGAGAACTTCCTGTACATCGCATGCCAGGGGCCGCTGCCCACCACGCTGGGGGACTTCTGGCAAATGGTTTGGGAGCAGAAGTCCAACGTGATCGCCATGATGACACAGGAAGTAGAGGGGGGGAAGGTGAAATGCCAGAGGTACTGGCCCGACACGCCCCGCTCGCCCGAGATGGTGGACGACCGGCTGCAGATCACACTGGTCAAAGATCAGCACCTGGACAACTTTGTCATCCGGCTCATAGAAGTCAAAGACATCCAGGTGAGAGGCAGTTATATATATCTTCAGGGCCTAAAATTAACACTCGCCAAGCGCCAAATGCCTTTATTCTTCATAACCTGAGATTGCGGCGACACATACCTGGGGTTACGCCGCCTAAACGGTGCAGTGAAGTAGGCCTATAGTTTGAAAGGCTGCGCGTTCGGCTGTACACATATACGCTGAGCCGGTTCAGACAGCGCACCAGTAGCGCTTCAACGCACGAAAACACAATTATGTCAAAATGCGCGGTTTTGGCGAGCTACCTTGTAAACGGAGTCTTAAATGAGTTATAAATGACCGTAAAGAGTTGGGAGAAAATCGGATATGTGTCAGATCCGCGTCATATGCATCAGGTTTTAAAGAGAGAGCACTGATTTTAAAGTGAAACCTGCTGAAGTCTGTCATTGATGTAAATCAAAGAACAAAAGAAAAAGAGAAATCCTTGGACTGTTCTATAGTCGCTGATTAACTTTTATAGCTTGAATAAAGATTAATATGTAAAATCACTTAAATTAAAAGTTGTTATATATTTCAGAACCTATTAAATGTTAAAAATAATGGCTTTCAATTATACTGTAATGTTGAATGGCTATAATTAATAGGTAAAATTGAGGGAAAATGCACCAGCACCAACAGGACAAATTAAAAACATTGTAAATATGTTTAGTTATTGTAGTAGTAATAACTGCCTGTTTTTGCAAAAAGAGTTCCATGGCCGGTAAAAAAAAATTTTGGCAGGTGTGGCAGAAAGTTAGTTTTAGGCCCTGTATATCTTTATAAATACACCTATACACACAGATGTTTGCAAAAATCTGCATGTGTATTTTTCTCTTGCAGACTAATGAAATCCAGAGAGTCACTCATCTGAACTACACAGGCTGGCCTGACCATGGAACCCCGACTCAACCAGAACAGCTCCTGACATTCATTTCCTACATGAGACACATACACCAATCAGGGCCCATCATCACCCACTGCAGTGCAGGGATTGGCCGATCAGGAACGCTCATCTGTATAGACGTGGTTCTTGGCCTCATCAGCAAAGATGCAGATGTAAGTGTCATATATACATTTATTCTTTGAACAATTGACTTGAATTTTATATTTGTAAGGTTTTGTACATTACAAATGTATGATTATTTTGAAAAATTTAATTTAGATACATTTTCAAGAAACACAATTTTGTCTTGCTGACATATACCATATATATATATATATGTGTGTGTGTGTTATGTGTTTGTTATATAAATAAATAAATGTTATATAAATAAAATAAATAATAATTAAAGTTAAATGACAAGTTAGTTTTTTTTTTTTTTTTTTTGTTAGGTGAAATATACATTTTAAGTTTATATATTTATGTTTCTGGTAACACTGAAATAACTTGACAAAATAAATGATATAATAAGTTGAATAAATAATTGGTTAAATAGCTTAAATAAGTTAATTTTCAAGAATCACTTTTATCTGGCTGAAGTATACAATCAATTCATTCATTCATTTGTTTGTTTGTATGTTTCTAGTACAACTTAAGTAACTTTACCAAATAAATGGTCAAATAAATTGTATCAATTATTGAAGTTAAATAGCAAAAGTTCGTTATTTTTCAATAATCACAAGTTTGTATGGCTAAAGTATACTGTTTTCATTTGTTTGTTTATGGCAACCCTTTATAATAACTAAATAAATGATATAATACATTGTATAAATAGTAATTGAAGTTAAATGGCAAAAGTTCATGAAATGGATGAAAATGCTTTATAGCACCTTTAAGCAATATAATATAATGATAAACAAAATTATATAACATACTTTATTAGCTAATGTGATGATTGAAGTTATATGTAATAATCATATGTTCTGGACATTTCCTCTCATTAGTTTGACATATCAGATGTGGTCCGTACCATGAGACTGCAGAGGCAGGGCATGGTGCAGACAGAGGTAACGGCTTTATAATGATCTACGCATTTAAATCAAGGTTACTTCTGCTGTCTTTTTGCGTGTAACATTTGCTGTTTTTCCTCTCCAGGAACAATACATTTTCTGCTACCAGGTCATCTTGTATGTGCTCAGATGTCTGCAGGCAGAAGAGAAACTCTCAGGATAAAGCGAGGACCCCACTGCCTTCCTGCTCTTCTGACAGGCTCGAGAGATCAGCTGAAGATACCAGCGGCTTCAGTCATCACAATGTCTGGAAGCAGTTTCTGCGTTTTCCTATCAGGGGCTTTGACCTCGTCAGAACAAATTGGTCTTATGATGTTTTGGACGTCAGTGACGTGTACAATTCTTGCAGAATTTTGTGTATTCTTATCGCTTACATTCTTGACCATTGGCTGCTATTTCTTTAAAACCATTTATTTGATAATTTATCTTTTTTTCTTTGGTACAAAAAAACTGTTTTTATAGATTCCTTAAAGATTTTGGATCAAATAAAAAAGAAATGAATTCATATTTTTTTGTGGTACAAAATTATTCTTGTGCATTTTAAATGAAATGATGCTGGAAATGTTGCCTTGACAGAATACAGACAGTATTTGCTTTGTAAATCTTTTAGAAATCACTGAGTGCCAGTGGTAATCGAAGACATTTTAAAGTGTTATATTTAGTGTGATATTTATCTTATGAAATCTGTTGATATGTTTTAAAGCTGTTACATACTGGACAATTTGCAATTTGTAAATAAAAGAATATCATGCCTTTTATGGTTTTCTCTAATCTTTGTATTTTTACCATTTCTGCTACTGTGATGAATGATGTGCCAGTTATGTATTTATTTATTCGAGTTATGTTTCTTTCATGTTATTTGGATGCATTCAGGTTTTACTAGGTTTGACATAAACATTGTCTATTAAGTTCATATTTATTAGTGCCCCCAATTGCAAAAAGTGTCTTTTTTTTCTTTTCTTTTTTTTTACACATATTAGACTATTAAGCAGGTATAGTTGTATCAATTGAAGTGACTCGGGTAGAATTGATTGTATTTCCATCGATGTTTTCCTCAGAAACATAAAATACTAATATTCTAAATCAGAGGCTGCAGAAACTCGCAACTCAAACAACCAGCAGCAAAACAACATAAAATATAGATTTTTCAGTTAATATAGTTTAACAAACAATTATTCAGACCACCGGAAAAAATATGCCGACTTTAAAATGGGTCTCCTGCAGTACCTCCAATGTCCACCGGGGCCGCTAAAAACCTCTGAGCTACATGAAGGAAACGAATCTTTTCGAATATTTGAATCAAATGATTCACTGTTTCGAAGCGCTCGAAATACCACACGCTGGGGACGCCTGCGTGGGACATACTAATTCTAATTTCGAATACTATTTAGGACGGATAGTATGCGTACGTACTGGGACGCAGCACCTGTAAATTCACTGGTTCGAAACAAATGATTCGCAACGGGTTCGAATCTTGACGAAGCACCACCAGTAGTAGTGACGCGTCTGAAAACCGGAATGTCTTTTCAGGCTTTCCGTAGTTTGAAGGCAACATGGCGACCTCCTTATGAGCCACGCTGGTGCTGGGATAATCAAATCAAATAATCAAACAAACGTTATTATTTGACGCTTAGCATTCGAAAATAACCAAAAATGTCGGGTCGTCACAATAACAAATTACCGACGAACCTCCCACAGTTGCAAAATTTGATCAAGAGGGATCCGAAGTCCTACACAGAGGAGGTAAATAACTTGCTACTGGATTTGTCAACTAGCCTGATCGCTAGTAAACCAAAGAATTTCATGACATTACGCTACGTCAAGCTGTTCATGTATTTATTAAACTTACCTTAATTTTACTAGAAGTCTTTTTTTCAGTAAGTAATCCAATAGTAACGTATCATTTTTAATGTCGCTAGTGTTTGTTCAGTAGACTAATCAAATAGTGACACCGAGTGACTATTCTATTATTACTCGTAATAAACAGCGATGGGGTCTGTAGTTAATTTAATCAGCGATTGGTTTCCTACTAGTATTACTAGTAACTAAAAATAGATACTTGTTAATTCTACGGAGTAAATGTCTTAACCCTTGGTCCATATAATCTAAATGATCTTAATTTGATGTTATTGCAGTTTTTGCAACAGTTTCGTCACTATCAGTCAAATGTGGAGATCTTTAAACATCAGCCTGACAAATCCAACAAAGACCTGGCAGAGCTGGTCATGTTTCTGGCTCAGGTATGGAGGTGTTTTCTCTTAGAGTTTCCATGTTCATTTATTTCAGCGTGTTTCGACTGTTGTGTTATTGGCTGATTGTGATTTTGTCTTCAGGTTGGACACTGTTACTTAGAGGAGCTGTCAGATTTCCCACAGCAACTGACTGATCTGCTCTTAAACCATCATACGGTGCTGGAGCCAGATCTAAGAATGGTGTGAATAACATTTGTTGTTTAGCTGACTTTTTTTTTTTTTTTTACTTAAATGACATTCAGTACAGTTAGTATGTAGAGTTTACTAGCTATACATTTCAAGATAGTCTGTCTTTCAGGGTAGAAGATGTTCTTAATGTTTAAAGGTCTGTTTTCTAAAGAGAACCTTTCTTTCAGACGTTTTGTAAAGCTCTCATCCTCTTGAGGAACAAAGATCTGATCAGTCCCACCAGTCTTCTGGGGCTGTTCTTTGAGCTGCTGCGCTGTCATGACAAACTTTTGCGGAAGGTCTGTTAATTTTGCAGTGCAGTTTTAAGTATATGAATTTAAATTATTGCAAAGCTTACTGCTAAAAAAAAAATGTCCTATGTCCCCTCAGACTTTATATACCCATATTGTGACCGATATTAAAAATATCAATGCCAAGCACAAAAACAACAAACTGAACACGGTAAGTCACTTGGGCATAATATTCATTTTCCATCAAGTCACATAATAGGACTGCAGCATTTCATAATTTACCCTTTAATCACTGAATTGTTCATTGACATGTTGATAGTTTGCATGAGATTCATACCCATAGTTTTGACATAAATGCTCAGACCTTGCAGAACTTCATGTACACCATGCTGAGGGATTCAAACCCCACTGCTGCCAAGATCTCTCTAGATGTGATGGTTGAGCTTTACAGAAGAAACATCTGGTGAGTCCTTGAACAGATATGTCTTTGTAACATAATATGATGCCATTAGGTATGATCCGCAATCACTCTGCTTTCCATTCCCACATCAACCTATCAGGAATGACACCAAAACTGTGAACGTCATCACCACAGCTTGTTTCTCCAAAGTCACAAAGGTACATTTTTTGGCTTTGTATGAATCTTCTCCAGCATTAAAACATTAGTTAAAGCAGCACTATGTAACTTTTTTCTGTTCAAAAATTTCCATTTTTGGGTGAACTATCCTTTTAAGGACAAGTTATTTACTTATCATACACTATATTGTAACTTTGTTCACTATGACCTCTTCTAGCATGTTTTAAATCTCATCTCCTCTCAGATCCTTGTAGCTGGATTGAAGTTCTTCCTGGGAAAAGATGAGGATGAAAAGAAAGACAGTGATTCCGAATCTGAGGTACAAGAAGTACAGTAAAGATTTTTTAAAAGAACTTTTATTCGGCAAGGATGCATTAAATTGATCAGAAGTAACAGTAAAGACATTTATAATTTTACAAAATATTTCTATTTCAAATAAATACTGTTCTTTTTAACTTTCTGTTCATCAAAGAATCTTGAATGCATCGTGGTTTTCCACAATATTAAGCAGCATGACTGTTTTGATAATAATAAGAGATGTTACTTGAGCAAATCAGCATATTGGAATGATTTCTGATGGATCATGTGCCACTGAAGACTGGAGGGATGATACTGAAAATTCTGCTTTCTATTTCAAATAAATACTGTTCTTTTTAACTTTCTGTTCATCAAAGAATCTTGAATGCATCGTGGTTTTCCACAATATTAAGCAGCATGACTGTTTTGATAATAATAAGAGATATGTTACTTGAGCAAATCAGCATATTGGAATGATTTCTGAAGGATTATGTGCCACTGAAGACTGGAGGGATGATACTGAAAATTCTGCTTTGCATCACAGGAATAAATAATATTTTAAAATATATTGAAATAGAAAACAGTTATTTTACATTATAATAATTTTTTACAATATTACTGTTTTTACTGTATTTTTGATCGACTAATTGTAGACTTGATGGTCATAAGAGACTTCTTTCAAAAACAATATAATATCTTACCAACCGCAAATTTGTGAACTGTAGTCTACTTTAAATAATAAAAATTATTATTAAGTGATACTTCGTTTCCTCTGCAGGACGATGGGCCAACAACCAGAGATCTAATGGTCCGATATTCCACTGGGAAAAAATCGTCCAAAAACAAGAAGAAGCTAGAGAAAGCCATGAAAGTCCTCAAGGTTACATCTTGTGTTTCATAATCAGCAAATCAGTGTTTTGTTTGATCATTTCAGTGTCATTTTAGATGCTGTTTTTATATTTATATTTTCATTTTAATTTGTTGTGTTTTAGTCAATTTCATATATTTGTGTTTGTTTATTTTTATTTCAGCTTTAGTTTGAGTTATTTTAGTACATCAAGATGATTTTATTTGATTTCAATTAGACTATATTCTCTTTGACGTAATGAAAGTTTAAATTCACTATAATAATCCTGGCTAAATGTGTCATTTTCATTTTTTGCTTTCTCAGAAACATAAAAAGAAGAAAAAAGTGGAGGTTTTTAATTTCTCCGCCATCCACTTGATCCACGACCCACAAGGTAAAGAGCCTTTCACACTGACAGAGTACAAAAAACCTGGAATAATGATCATGTAATGAAGAGGTGAAATATCTGGGAACTGAAAGGTTGCAGGTTCAGACCCACAAGGGTTGATCCATAAACTGTCACTGTGAATCACTTTCTATAAAAGCACCTCGATTAGAAATGAATATCTGTGTTGTTCAGATTTCGCAGAGAAGCTCCTGAAGCAGCTGGAGAGTTCAAACGAACGTTTTGAGGTGAAGATCATGATGATGGAGCTCATCTCTAGACTTGTGGGAATTCATGAGGTCATTTATAAGTACATTTAATTCAACTTGCACATTTTAGAATTTAATATTTTCCCATGAGTTACTCTAACCTGTTTTTGCTTCTGTTTTACAGCTTTTCCTCTTTAATTTCTATCCATTTGTCCAGCGCTTCCTTCAGCCTCATCAGAGAGGTAAACACTGTTATCTTCATGAAACACTTACAGTAGTAATGTGTAATTCACTTCAGTGTTTTTGAGCGTCTCTTATGTAATACTCAAATCTTCAGAGGCTGCGTTTATGATCTCTTCATGTTAGTTCATTTGATTTCTTTCAGAGGTCACCAAAGTTCTGTTGTGTGCCGCCCAGGCGTCGCATCAGCTGGTCCCTCCTGAGGTAAG